CGTTAAAAAAAAAATGTTTAAAAAATGAATAGTTTGTATTTCTTAAAGTGTAAGAGATTAATAAGTATAAAAAACAACATAAGAATGTTACAAAGATATTCTATGAGAAAAGCTCCATCATTCGTATGTTTAAAAAATTCTCTCTCTCTCTCTCTCTCTCTCTCTCTCTCTCTCTCTCTCTCTCTCTCTCTCTCTCTCTCTCTCTCTCTCTCTCTCTCTCTCTCTCTCTCTCTCTCTCTCTCTCTCTCTCTCTCTCTCTCTCTCTCTCTCTCTCTCTCTCTCTCTCTCTCTCTCTCTCTCTTTTTTTTTTTTTTTTTTTTTTTTTTTTCGTGTATAAAAAAAGTAAATTGCGATTTCGAGAATGCAGAGAGATTGTCGAGTGATACAGAGATGACAGGCGAAGCACACAGAGTAATGTACCATTTAGAATCGGAAATGGAATTTAGAATTAGAATGTAAAAATACTATATATATTTACAATTATATATTAATTAATTAATTAAATTATTAATTATACAATCTGTAGTAAAATTGTCTTTTATAACAAATTAAATAATTTTAATAATTATGAATATTCGATAAATACTTTTATATTAACTGGATCAAAGTGAATCTGTCTTTTTTTATATTATTTTTAATTTCTTTGATTAAAAAATTTACGAATAAATCATTTTAATAATTAATTATAACAGACAATTTTATTACAGTAACATTTATGCTGATGACAAAGAGTATTAAATTATTTTTTACGATACGTTGTTATTTATAATGGAGAACATTCTTTAACATGTGTACATTGTACTCAAAAACAGTGATTGCTCCTATATAAGTGATGACGAAAAATCTTTAGCTGATAATCATTACACTCAACACTTAATTCACGTTAATAAATTTTTTTCTTATTTTTCATATCATCGTAATGTTTATTGAGTAATGTATATTTATTTTATTTATCGAATCATTCAATTCAACTTTACATTCATTTAAATAAAAAAGGTTTCATTCTTGTTTTTTTTTTTTTTTGTTTCTTTTATAGTTGGCACATAAATGGAAGCAACATACCATACAAAGGTATGTGTAAAATAAAAATTTACCAAAAAAAAAATTATCATTATTAGGACTTGTTTGTATTTTTACTAGTATTTATTATAATTTATAATATAATATTTATTTAAATTACGGTGAAAAATTTCATTGTAAAAAATTCTAATGTAAATAAAAAAATATTTATTCGTTAAAAAAAAAATGTTTAAAAAATGAATAGTTTGTATTTCTTAAAGTGTAAGAGATTAATAAGTATAAAAAACAACATAAGAATGTTACAAAGATATTCTATGAGAAAAGCTCCATCATTCGTATGTTTAAAAAATTCTCTCTCTCTCTCTCTCTCTCTCTTTTATACTTTTAGCCTTGATATAATTCGTTATTTATATTTTCAATTAATTTTCATATCTATCTAACTTTTTTGTTAATATATATATTTACACTATTTACATACATTAAAACGATTAATTACTTTTAAATTTTATCATTAATTTATCTCTAATTATTCATTAATAGTTAATTGTATTTTCATACCTTAATGATTGTATAATTAGGATTGACTATACCTTACAATAATCAACGGAATAATGTTTAATAATAATAGTGATAATAATATAATCAATAATAATAAATGAAAAATATTTTAAACATATCATGCCATTCAGATGGTATCTCCATCTCCAAGGTACCATTCTGGACGAATATCGGTCCGTTATTAAATTAATCAATATTTTTTAAAAATTAATTATTAACATTTCTAGCACTTTGATGAGCAAATACTTTGGAGATTACACAATCTATAACTTTATTCGTACCCTTCAATTATATTTTTATCTTTCACGCTAATTAGGATATTAATTTAATATTTTTCCATTTCATAGTAATTAATCAATTAATTGATCACTTTATTATTTAAGTATTAAGTATAGACAATTTTTATTTTTTTTTATCAATTACAAATATAAAACATGTATATGTAAATAGAATTCTTAATTATGCGCGAACATGTTCTCTAATTGAGCATACGTGAATGTTTTTATTTTATTTATTTTTTTTTTTTTTAGGGTTTTATGAGTTTTTTTATCAGTCTAAGCCGATCAGTGCGGCTCCACACACAACAGCATAACAATACACGTTATTATTTAATTATTTTCTTTATCTGTTTTAATAATAATAGTAATAGGAATTATATATAAGCCTGTGTATCTACTGTAACAAATAATTGCAATAATTAAATAACAATTGGCGTATGCTAATTAAATATTTTTTTTTTTATTTTTATATTTTATTAATCTTTATAAAATTTTTTTAAAATACTTTGTGCTTAAAATACACTATTTTTATTCGTTTAATAATAAACTATTTAAAGACTCGAAATTTTTATTGAAAATTAATTTACTGTAATTTTGATTGAGAAATTTTATAATTAATTAATGAAAAAAAAAATAATTAGTTAAAAAAAATTTAACAGTAAATAATTGACAGATATTAAAATGAGCCATTAAAAATAATGTATTTTATGCAACAATTAGTATTAAATATCAATAAATGTAACTTATTAAATTTTAGAACAAATTTTATTATTTTTTCTTTCAAAAATATATACGCCGACTAATAAATATTTAGGCTTCATTCCATTAATTTTAATTTTCAATAAACAAAATCACGCATTGATTTTTAATTTTATTTAATTATAACGCTAATAAATTTTGAACGTACTCGTAATAATAAAATTTAATATTCCATACTTTAGCAAATATTCCTGACTATTTAAATGTTTATTTATTTATTAATAGCGTATATTCAATAAACAAGAGACCCTCATATGTTCCATTATTTTTCACATGTCACGTTGTTATTTATTTAATGTTTTTGCAATCAATACTTATATTCCATTAAATGAAATATTCATGATGCATTACGTTTCATTTATTTATTTACACTAGTTAATTTGTTATTCATTATTAATATTCCTATTTAATATATCAAAGTAATATCAATAAAATGTCTCGATAAGCCAACGGTACCCACTTTTTTTTTTTTATAAAATAATCTTATTTTTATAAATCAATAATAGTAAATTAATTATTATTATATCTACACTTATAAAAATTAATGTCTTTTATAAAATGGAATAAAATATATTAAATAAAAAAAATATCACCGTCCAGAGATTCTATTTTTATAATCCCATTTGTACGTAACTGTCAATTTAATTTAAATCAACGACATCGTAAACTTAAAAATGTATTAAAAAAAATTAATTTTTAGTTTCATTTCATTTATTGTAATATTTCCTGGCAGTCGGTGAATAAGCACATTAACGTACCGAGGAAAGCGATAAATAAATAATTTATTGTAGGACATACGTATGTATATGTATATATATTATCAGACTTGATGAGAGGTTTAGGATTAAATATAACTACCTCGTTAAAACTTTTTTAAATAATCCACTCTGTAATTAAATGTATATACATTGACTAAGTGCGGCAGTGATAAATCCGTACTTTCTGCAACACCATTTAATCTGTCTTTTTTATTTTTATCAGCAATTATGTAAAAAAAATATTTATTTTAATTATTTATAGAAATAATAATTATTGTTGTTACTATGATTATTATTATTTTAGAAATATATAAGACGATCAGTGACTATTTCAGTTCTACTAAGTGTTGCTTCTTTTTCAAAACTTGACACAAAAATAATTGAGATGTAACTATCGCTTTGGTATGACATATATACAATGCTCTCTTCCCAATGTATTACAGTTTGTTTTGCTGATGTGGAAAAATTGAGATATAATTATAAAATACTTTAGAGAGGGAGCAATGTAAATATTTCATCATGACAATAGTTATAAAAATAAATAAATAATGTTTTTATTCACTAGTGATTCAGATAAAATATATTTTTAAAAAAAAATATTGAATTTAATAAAGTTATTTAAAATATATCAATTTTAAAAAGTAACTAGATATATAATAAAAAGTAACATGTAAATATTGCTTTAGAATATAATAGGCATCAATTAAAAAGTCATCTCGATACCTTTTAATATTCCAGTTATGAATAAAATGTAAAATAAAACTCATATAAAATTTTTTTTTCAGTATGGGAATTCATATAAAACAATAGTCATATATGTGACTATACATATGCATGCATTGTAAGACGAATAATTTAGTCAATTATTTATCATTTCAATTTAATCGTTTAAATGGTTACCTTATTGTTGCATGATTTAAAATTCAGAATTTTTAATCTTCATATCGACGTTCTAATTAGCAAATTGTCTAACTCCATTTTAGAGAATCTTCTATTTGTATGAAAAAAACAATTAGTTCAAAATTTATTATCACTTTAAAAAACCATTTTATATAATTATTATCTAATAGAGATATAATATTCAGGTTTGAATCATTCAAATAATTTATAATTTGATTATGGCTACATCAAAATGTTAAAAAATCATCATCCAAAAAATATGGAGTTAGACAAATTGCTAATTAGACCGTCGATATGATTATATATGCTTATAATTGATTGAAATTCATGTAACATTGATCATATATGACCGTGTATGACTAATTTTCCCAGGCAGCCCAATTATTTATTAATTTTTGTTTTTACTCAATTTTTAATGCCAAGTTTTAGAATAATCAGTCATTAATAAAAAAAACTAAAACAATAATAGTAATAATTAATAATAATAAAAGTAATATTAATAAGTGGGTACTTGGTCTTTTCTTCTCACAAATTATCCAAAAAATGGTTAATTTATCATTTATGCGAATAAAAAAAAAATCTTATGTAAATAAATTAAAAAAATCAATTAAAACCGCATTGTATCTGCCGTAAGAGGATTATCTTATCAATATGTACAGGTATAATAGTTAATTAATTAATATGAAAGAGTTTGTTACGGTCGATGAGGATTGATATCAATCACACTAGTTGCACTGTTTTGTCTCTATATATATTATATATATATATATATATATATATATATATCACACTCACTCAGTACATTATTATATTATTATTTAAAATAATAATATTGTTAGTTCACTAAGTTGTTGTAGAAAAAAATTAGAGTCGTGTAACCCGTTCAGAATGAGTTCGCGTCTCGGAGTTCGGCGTCGGTGAGTGGACAAGATGATGATTGTGGTGATGGTGGTGGTAATGGCCGATGCGGATGTCCGAGACGTCGGATGAATCTCAGACAAGATGTCCATCAATGTCAGAGTAATTAGGTGTTGAGGTGAAAGTTGACAATGGATGGCCGTGGGAGTGTACGGGGATTGGACCCGCACGTGCAAAAGTGATTGGCGGGGGCGGCACAGATGGGGGCTGGGGTGATTTCGTTCCTGCAGTCATTACAGTGACGTCGGGTGGGGGTACAGGACGCGGTAGTGTACGATTCCTCGTCAGTGTCCCGGTATTCGCTCCCGTGTGTAACACACCAACGTGGTGATGCCCGCTGCCAAGGGACGGATAATAAGCGCCTGGTCCGGGTTCGTTCAACACCGGCACCGGGCTAGGGTTCGTTTCATACCCCATATAGCGGCCACTGTCCATCTCCACACTGTAGAAATTTACGTCGCTGGGCGGGGCTGGACTGGGATTCCCGATGTAACTCGATTTCGAAACTGAAAATTTTTTCATTAGTTTTTTATGTTTTTATTCTCATATTTATCATGTATTAATTAACCCATTTTTTTTTATACTGATCAGTAAAAATTTTTTCGTCAAAGCTCATGTTAAGATTTTTTTTATTTAATAATTAATTTTAATACTACACAGTAAAAAATTTTACGTCATTGTGTCAACAAACTTAGTGTCAAAAATTTTTGTGTTAAATATTTAACACTTTTATGTGTAAATTTAACATTTATTCTTTTAAATCAACACAAAAAAGTGTTAAATAGTTAACATAAAAATTTTTAACACAAAATTTTTTAACGCAATGACGTAAAATTTTTTACTGTGTAATCGTTTATGTTAAAAAAGTAACACTGATTTATTTTAAAATTTTTTGGAAATCAATTATAAATTTTCATACATTAAAGTGTTATTTGTAACAGAGTAAAAAAAATTTAATAATTTTTTTTTACAAAAATTCTCAATTGAAAAAATTTATTTACTTCACGAAAAGTATTTTTTTTTTTAAATTGCATTCTCGTGTGACAATATTCAACTCTTTTAAATAACTTTTAATTTAATAAAATACTTGCATGAAGAGCACAAAATTTAATATTCAAAAATTCTATTCAATGAAGTATTTTATTATTTTGATTATACGTTGAAGCATTTTTATTCCTGGAATTTTTTCTCTTGGATTAAGATTTGCGAAATTGGTTCAAAAACTAAACAATTTTCTGATTTCTACTAGACATTTTAACGATAAAAAAGAAGCCCTGAATATTTTTCGTCACTTGATGAAGCATAAATTTAGTTTTCTTAAATGAAAATTTCGTTTTTTTAAATGAATATATCATTTTTTGCTTAATAAGTTGACAACATTCAGAATGAAAATATTACTGTTCAAAACAAGAATGTAAAGTTCTTAAAAAAAAAAAAAACGGAATTATTTTTAATTTTCTTCGTTAGAGAATTTTATTACATCGGTTGATAATAAGTAGTGTACTTTTTAATTCCGATCACCATAGTGGTCGACGGTAAATCCAAATATCGTAATCCAAGAGTTTAGAAACCGAAAGAACAAAATTTTGAAGCAAAACGAATAAATTTTGTCGTTCAAAATTATTTCTTTTGAATCAAATAAATTTTTTCTATCATCAGTGTGATATTTGAAAATTTTGTTATCAAACAGTATTTTAGTGCTTTAAAAAATAAGCAAATCAAACTATATTTAACTAATATCTTTAATTATTGATCAATAGCGTTTCTATAGTAATAGATATTTTTTTTGCCCAATGTCGAATAATTTTTTGCTATGAAATCAATTCAAATTCGCTGGAAAAAAAATTGCAATCAGTTTGGATATGATCGATACTAATAGATATAATACTATTATAATTCAATCGCGTTCACCATTAATTAATTATCGAATAATGAAATTTAATTTTTATAAACTTATTTATCAGTACTATTGAAAAATAAATGGGTTAATATACTCAGTTATCAGTTATCATAAATATAAATTAATGCTGGCAATATGTACCAGAGATAAAGTTTAAAATATATTAAGAATAAAATTATTGAAATATATGCATGCATAAAACAAAAACCTCGCAAGTGTATTGTTAGCTTTGCGTGCCTCATTATGTCTTCACCATCATTATTAATAAATAAACTATCATTTCCTTTTTTGTCAGTGTTTTGTAAATTGTAATTAAACAAGCAGCTGATCAAATAATTCATGCCAGAATTAAATGAATTAACGATGAAGTTGATTGAGGATAATGTTCTTTATGGTTCGCTTTCATTCTGTTTCATATGAACATATGTATGTTGATGATTGCTCATGACAATGTTAATTATTTATTTGTCTTATTTTTTCACTAGAATTTAATCAACATTTAATGATATAGCAGTCGAAGGGATGATGACTGACCAGACTTTTTTAATGAAGCTGATGAACGAATAAATATATTATGAATAAATAATTATAAAATCTACATTTTTCAAAATCATGCGTGCATATTTTTTTTCTTTAAGGCTGCGGCAATTTGAGGTCGTAACGGGCCTGAAGAGAACATATTTTTCCTCAAAACCTGACTACGGCCTTTACCAAATGCATGTAGAAAATTTAAAGTCTTAGTGAAAAATTAAACAAAAAATTAAGTGCTCAAAATTATTATCAAAGTATTTTTTGTAGTATTTTTGCTTGGGGAATTATTAATTTTTAAAATAAATTAAAATTAATAATTATTAAGTTTATAAAAAAAAAAAAAAAAAAATAAAGAAGCTGCGGAAAATAATTTTACAATAATTGTCTGGTCAGCAATAATTAAATGATGGGATCACATCAATCAAGAGCAATAAACTTGAGAGGTTTTTGCACCTATTGAGAGTCTCAAGACGAGTAGCAGTTGTTAGTTGACATGTAGTAGTTGACCCACCAGAGAGAGTCCCACTGGCAGTGGTACGTTGCGGTGGCGAGTCTAATGGCATCACACTTGGCACATGATTGATACGTCTACCGAGGGTACCTTGATGGTGTACTTGCATTTCCAGACCACCCTTATTGAAATCTTGTATACTTTGATCTATTAAATAGGTACTAGCCGCTGTTTTTCTCCCCTCATCCTATTTTCAATCACAGTAAATCAAGCGTAAAAAATATTTGTCTTTTTTTATTAATAATTAATAATTACTTAAACACTATATGGCTAAATAACTAATTGTTTAATAAAACTATTATTTATGAATATTTAATACTAATTTAAGAAGGTTTTAGATTAGAGGACAACTAAGTTTTTATTTGAATTTTTTTAAGTGGAAAAATAACATAATGTATTAACTTTAATGGTTTATTGTTAATGGATTTAAAAATGTATAAAATTATTATTTATTGCAAGTTTTAGACTTCAAACAGCTGAGACGAATAAAAAAAACTTCTTAATCGATTCAGTTGAATATTTTATCGATAAAAAAAAACTTCTACCGAAGGGGACTGCTGCCTTCTAAATAATTTTTACATTAGCGCGCATTTATCAACTCTAATATACTTTTTTATATTTATTTCAAATAATTATTTAGCTGAATATATTAAAAAATGATTGATATTTTTATTTATATGATTTCAAAGTGCTTAGTGAAAAACTAATATCTATAGATTGAATAATAATTTGAATTTAATCGTGTTTTCTTAGAGTAAATTCTTGATAACTGAAAGTACTAAACGGAAAATTAAAAACGAATCGCAAGAAATTTTTTATTTTAAATAAAAATAATCATATCTTTGATATTTAGAAAAAATTATTAATTTCAAATAGCGAATAAATGATTAACATAAATTTTCCTTTCGACGATATATTCAGTTTATTTTACTGTTCATTAGTTGAGCACAAAAAGTTTAAAAACAATCCAGGATAAGCAAATACGAATGCGCTGTCATAAAACAATATTTTCAAGCTTTAAAGTAATTGAATCTATATATATATATTTCAGACAATTTTCATTTAGAATAAAATTTTTTATATGAGAATCTTATATTTTATTTCCAAAGGCAGCAGTCATTTTTAATTATTTTCTTGAAATATAATGTCATCAAATTGCATATAATGTTAATAAATTTAATAGAATAATAATTGAGTATTTTTCCAAAAAAAGAATTTTTAAGTTTAGTTATCTCTCCTAAAACCTTCTATTTTATTCCAATTAAAAATTAATGCGTCTATAATAAATTATTACTATGTTTAATTAATCAACTATAGCTATTTTTCGTTATTAGTGATTATTAATTAATAATTATAATTATGATTAATATTAATATTACGGTATTCTAAGTTCATTAGCATTGCAATTACTCGGGCTATGCACATTGGAACATGATGAATTAATTACAACCCCCCAGTTTATTGAAGATAGACCTGATCTGATGAGAAAGAAAATTAAAAGCATAAAAAGTGAAATAATAAATAAATTTAGAGAAGAAATAAATAATAAATAAATGAATAAACTAACGAAGGGTAAATGGAAAAAATAATAAGAAAAAAATAAAATAAGATAGAATTTAGAGAAAAATGAAATTAAGAAAATATTAAAAAGATTAAATGATAGAAACAAAAAACGTGTTAACAGAACTCAGACCTACCCTCCGTAATTACTTGTTACTAAGAACATACTGACTGATCGCACTGACCACGTAATCATTAGCGTCGAAATTAACGTCGCTCTTCTCGTCCGAGACTGAACTTAATTCCCCTGTCATTGTGTCGCCATTCACGGTTGAAGGTGCATACATGTCCGCTGTTTGAGACTTGTTGATGTCTATAAAAAAAAATAACTTTAATTACTTACTTATTCTTATTGAAAGTTAATTAAACATTTAATATTTCGCCATAAGATTATTAGTTTTAATTAAGAAAATATCTTTTACCTTAATAAGTTTACGTAATTATTTCTCTCAACTACACTAGCTTACAAATCCAAATTTTTCTTTTATGTAAAATTAATTAATTATTTTTATCTATATTTTGTTACAAGTATTTATAGTTAAAGTTCAATTTTAATTAATTTAATTTAGATTCCTTGAGTTACTGAAAAATAATCTAGAAACCCATTTAATTTGAATCTTGCTTCTTTTCACTCTATGAATTACGACTATTCACTGTTAATGTAATGCAATAAATTTATTCAAAGTTCTTTAAGCTTAAAATATATTTATTTTTTTATTTTACTTTTCCAATTAGTTGGTATAAATTTAATGATGAAAGAAAAATTACAAGAGATATTTATTTTTAAATGAAAATAAATAAAAAAATGAAACATGATTATTTTCATTGACCTTCTTTTAAAACAGAAATATTATCAAATATAAATTTCTCAAAGCTTTTTGCTTCTAAATCAATTATTCACTCAACTAACTCCCTTTTGAATTCGTGATACTTCTTCTGACGGCAGAGAACTATTATTTGATATTTTTCATAGCCATAATGGCGATCAGATGGTAGTTTTAATCTTCTTACTTATTTTCACAAAGTACTTAATTCAAATCAGTTAGTTTGCTAGTAAATTTATTGAAAAAATCTTATGCATTTTTTACAAAATAAATAAAAAAAAATTTATTTGAAATAAATTAATTTAAGTCAGCATAAAAAGTGACTTTATAAACGTAATCTGGATAGACGAAAACTCTGTGAGCTAGTGTGATTAATAAAGAAAAAAAAAAAATTGGATTTATTTATTTTCAAAACTTACGGGCTTTATTTTTTTTTCGCACAATGTACCATAGCATGATGAATAGATTAATAATAAAAAAGATGATGGAGGTAGCGGCAACTGTATAGATATAATTCATCGGAAAATCACTTTTCTCCAATAAATCCTGGTGGCTATGGCTTTTATCGAGTCCTTGTGTCGTAGTGGAGATAAAAAAAAAAGAAAATAAAAATCAAATAAATAAATATTTACCAGAGCGATGTATCTTCTTTTTGGATTTAAGTGTGGCATATAGTATGGGTGTAGCAATGAGTAGACAAGCACAGGCGGATGCAACGATGATTATGACGATGGTGTAGGAAGAGTTAATCTCACTGGCGGTCAACTCTGTCGGTGGCGCTTCCCCTGTAACCCAAGCCATTAACCCCGTCACCCGGATGTTACTCATGCACCTGACCATTTCGTTAGTTACGTTTATGTTTTATCTAATCAAACTACTTCAATTGCGTTTTCAATTATTCTACTGTTTTATATATTTTTTGTCTTTTTTTTTTTTAACATGATAAGTAAAATATTTTTTTCCTTTCACACACAATGCTACTAACGCCGTCATTATTATTGACTTGTACTACTTAAATCACTGTTTAATAATTTGTATTACAATATTTATTTAAAAAAATTCACTTAAATTTTTTACACTCAATTGTTGAAAAATCTTATTCGAAAAATTTTTTAATTAAAACAGTTTTATTTCCCAAATAAACAAAGTTTATTTTATTTGTCAATATTATTTGAATAAACGATGTAATACCCGGGGGTTAAAATTACTCGAAGATTCACAAATTATTCAAACTATTCGATTCGAGAGAAACAATTCGCAAGCTTGAATTATTTGAATTAATAAATTAAATATGTATAAATCGAATACTGATTTTCAATAACTAAAAATAAATGAAACCGTATTTCTGCATAATTATGAAATCAGAGTAAAGAATAACTGCAGAGAAACAAATTATTAAATAGAAGTGATTATGATTATCAGTTATAATTTCGGCATGCAAAATTTCATAATTTAAATATGTATTTCGTTCGTTAAACATGAAAATTGCATGCCTTAATTTCAATTACCAATTTTAATTTTTCTTTGCTACTATACCAAAGTCGTAAATTACTACTGAGCAATAATAACTTTTATAATTTGAAGTTTATTATTTATTTAACTAATTTATTAACGGTCAATGCATTCATTAGCCCCACAATTAAAATAATTTCCGTATAAGCTTTTTTTTTTTTTTCATGCAAATATTGCCTTTACTAAAAGTTACATTAAAAATAGCATTTAATAATGATAATTATATTCAACTATTATTATTATTAGTTGATTATTGTTATTAAGATTTGAAAATTATTGAGCGAAATAAATGATTAAAATGTATGATGATTTGATAGCAATGAAGTTGTTTGTTACTTATTTGTTCGTCTGTTTATTGATTTATTATAAGAGTATTATATATGTACCTATTATATTATTATTGTTATTACTAAATAGAATACTTACGGAGAGTTTGAACTTTAACGAGATCAGGCAAATATGAACTCTCGCCTTTACTATTCCTCGCCATTATACTAAAGACGTAGTAAGTTCCCAAAGTTAGTCCGTCGATAGTTGCAGTCGTTTGTCCCGCCGATATGTCACGGTAATCATAATTGTCTTGATAATCGAGCGCTTGTCGCCACCGAATGCGATAGGAAGTTGGTAGACCACCGTCAAATCCTTTTTTCCAATTCAACGTGACACTATCATGAGTTACGTTAGACACTTGGAGGTCTGTCGGCTTGTCAGGCGGCGAAGTTACATCCAATTGTACAAAGTCTGTTATTTGACCCATTGAATTCAATGCTCGACAATTGTATTTTCCATAATCACGTTGTGTAACTCGGAGTATTGATAATGTTGACTGAGCTTCCAGTTTTGATAGCTTTAAAAATAATTTTTATTAATTTTTTAACTTATACCAAAAATTATTTTAAATTTGTAATGCTATTTTATATTATTTACCTCTTTTCTAACAATTTTATATTTATCTGTAGTAACATTAGGTGATAACGTTTTATCGCCAAATGTCCATATAAATTTAGGTAAAGGTGATCCACGTGCACGGCAATGTAATTTAACCTCCGACCCGACATTAGCGGCAGCTTTTCTCATTAAATGGTTGTTAGTAATTTGTGGCTCAACTAAAAAATAAAAAAAGTATGAGAAATATAAAAAAAAAAAAAGTGAGCTAATTTAAAATGCGCTAAGTAATTGAGAATATAGATGAGAATTAAACATACAATTAGTGATGAATAGAATGGGTTTAGATGTGACATTTCCAATTCCATTGTTAACATTGCAACGATATTCTCCAACGTCTTCTACACTTGGATTGCTGATATGCAGGAAGGATGTTTTGTTTGCAAAGGAGGTCGAATAACGATTAGATAGTCCCGAATTCGAGCCAACTTTATACCACGTTACATATTCATCACCAATGGGACTGCCATCCAATTCGCAAAATAATTTAGCCTCGGTATCTGGCGAATACACTGCTCCGGATTCGGATGTCCGTTTGATTTCAGCCGCATCTAAAAAGTCCATTAAATTATTATTACTTCTGCTTCCGCTGATTTTTATTATTTATTTTTATTTTTATTTTTATTTTTATTTCATTTACTTACATTGAACTGTTAAATTCAGCTGATAGTACGACGAGCCTTCTTTATTAGTCGCTTGGCATACATAAGTACCCGCGTCATTCCGATGCAAACGAGTTATGTTCAATGTTGAATCGCGCGCTTTAATTCGCGAGTTATCGCGACTCAATGGCAAGCCATCACGTGTCCATGTGAAGTTAATAGTGCTTGGATTGCCTCTGGCTGTTACGGATATTATGTAAGGTTCGCCTTCCATTCCGACTAACTCACTTGGATCCATCGATGAAAATATTGGCTTAACTGTTTCCATTGCATAAGTAAATAAATAGTTGTTATAAATTATTAATTATTAATGAAAGTAACTTACACAAAACATTTAACGCAGTAGCGTCATGAGTTGATCGTTGCATCACTGCATTACGGGCTTCGCAAGTGTAAACTTCTTCGTTCATATCCTCAGTCAATTGAAGCTGAAACTCAACGGTTGATACAAATCCACCGTGAAGTCCCACGCGTGTCGTATTTTTAGTCCCCTCGACGGCTAGCCCTCCTTTCCACCATGACATCTCTGCGGGTGGATTACTCGCGCTTGATTCACATATCAATTTGCCTACTCTACCCGCACGAAATTCCTCGGGTTCACGAGTTATTTTCACTTGTGCCGTTGGGACTGTTTCATTAAATTTATCAATTTATTATTTATTAATTATTTATTATTAATAGTCATTTTTAATACTTACAGTGGACTTTTAAGATTAATTTTTTACTCATTGGAATGGTCGTCGCTGAATTAATGGCATCACATCTTATGTGCGCGTTATTATCCGATGCGTTTACTAGCATTTCTAATTCATTCGTTACTGCGTGATCCCTCGTAAAAACAGTTCCTTTTATCTGTTATTGATAAATTTTTTTTAATTATTAATAATGTAAAAAATAATGTAAAAAAAAGTTGTTAATTACCTCTTTATCATTTTTATACCAAGTAACATTGGCAAGAGGGTTACCAGCGGTTGCAATACACAGTAACTTTAATATAACGCCCGCATCAATCGTTGTATTATCTTCGTAACCAGAAATAATTAAACTTGCTGGTGGATCTATAAAAATTAAAAAAAATGGTTACTTTTATAATATTCTTAATAGGAAAGAAAAGAGATACAAAGTACCTGGGACAAAGTTGAAAAAAAAAAAAAAAAAATTAATTGCTATACTGATGTTAAAAAGGTTTATAATATATATATTTTTTGCACTTTTATTTTTATAAGGGTTTTTTAAAAAATTATTTCAAACCACAAAGTAATTTTTGAAAAAAAAAAATTTTTCACTAAATCTTTTAGATATCTCGTTTTACCCTTCATTCTATTGACGGTTTAAAGTAAAAATAATTTACATTAACACTTAATTTAAAAGAATCAAGATATTTAAATGGAAAATATTTAATAAACAAATAAAAACTTACATATAACATTAATAGTGTGTGCCTTCGTAGTGTAATCAGCAAGTTTTTTATTAGTCGCTTGGCAAATAACGACAACACTTTTAGCATCAGGATTAATATTAAATGTTATATTTGACGTAGTAATATAACCACCCTGGGGTGCCAAATAAGTCCGTGAGTTATTTGTATGAAACTCACTACCAGCGACAGTCCATTTTATTTCCGCAGGGGGATTTGAATTTTCCGTTGTGCAAATAATTGTAACAGTTTCCTCGGCTTTAGCTTCTGTCGGTCCGGTTATTATCACTGAAGCTGGATGGACTGTAATTATAAACCCGTTATAAATGAAACTGTTGACAATAACAATGATAATAGAGACAGAGGCATGTTTTATTTTAAGTAAGCATGTTATTAAATTAATTAAAAGAGTATTCCAGGTATTAAATGGTGTTTAATCTATAATTATGCTTACAGAGAACGCTGAGATCAACGTGAACTTTGAGAGGTGTTACACTCATGACATTAGATACTTCACAGCGATATCGTGCTTTGTCATCCTCAGATTTCGCCTCGAATGTCAGTAAATTCTGGGATATTCTGTCGTCCGTACGGTAAAAGTTGCTCTTTACTTCGTCATTTCTGAACCAGACCACCTGAGCTGGCGGATTACCGCCGCGTGATTTACACACTAGATCAACTCTTTGCCCTCGTTGAACTGTTTCACCCTCAGTATATCCTTCAATGTACGGTGGCCCAGGTGGATCTTTAATAAATTATATTCACGTTACATTTTTTATTTTCCATTAACTTATACTTATTTTTTTTTTTTTTTTTAATTACATTAATATAAATTATACTCTAAATACTTTTCTGTATATTTTATTCTTTTGACGAATACTTATAACTTTAAAGTTTCCTTCTAATGAAATTGTAATGAGATTTTAATGATAAGCTTTGAGCAAGAAACTTTTTCTTCGTTACGTTAAAATAAAAAATACAGAATAGTTTTAAAACAGTTTAGTTTATTTTAATAAAATTTATATTTTAAACAAAAATTATTTACAATTTTTGCCGATAGTCTTTTTAAAATTAAAGGTAAACGGTGATTCCCATTATGATATAATTTATTAAATACATAAGTATCCATGTAAGAAGATTATCAAATAGTATTTGTCGTTATAAAAATTTTATTGAATTAAAAACAAAATCAAATTACAGAAGGGACCATTTTTATGACTCAACTTTTAAGTAATTTTAAATGATAGTTAAACACAAACTTCATAGAACTTATATCAAAGTTCCTACAATAAACTTAATTCAATTTTTTGATGAATTTCCTGTAAATTAATAATTTGCAGAATTACAAAAAAAAAAATCATTTTAATAATTTAGTTGCAAGTATTTGTCAATTAATATTTCTTAATTAAATGATTAAATTGTAGGAATCACTGTTTATTTTGATAAATCTATTTTCTGTTCCGATTATTTAATTTTTATATTTTTTAAACAATTAAAAATCATATTTAATTCAAGAGTATTCATTATTCTTTTTTATTTCTAAGAAAAATAATTGAAAAATAAAAATACATACATAAAACAGAGAGCTTAACGACCGCTCTCATCGGCCTGTCAAGAGGAATAGCCGGATGCCTAGCTTCACAAGCATAATCCGTACCATCATCTTCGACAGTTGGTACAATAGTTATTGAACTGTGCGTATCATATTTTTGAAGTTTCTTCTTCGGTTCACCGGGTTTCGGTGCATCTTTATCTGAAGCAAATAACAAATGACAAGATATCAGACGGAGTAATAAACATAAAGCTTACTTGTAAGATAAAACTATAAATAAAGATTGAGAATTCTGCAAAACGGCGTATCAATAAATGCGCATACAATGTTGAGGCATGAATAGAGATTAAACTAAAGGTTAAATTTGAGGTAAAAGCCTGAGCTTGAAGGCTCTTACCAACTGTCCAACTCACAAGACTTGGACTGGTACTTGTGGGGTTTAAATTTAAGTTACAGTCAAGACTCTTGTACGCCTTAAATTCAAGCTTCCTCTAGTTCTTGTTTCTAGCAATTTTCTTACTCTTCCCCTTATTTTTTTATTTTATATTTTTACTCTTTCTCTCATTTCTTTTTAGCAGTTGCCGGATAAATTTCTACTAAAGATTTAAATCCAAATGTCGTGTGTTGGTAACAACCGAAGAAAGAACTGTAAAACAAGTTGGTGAACATTGGTACTAGTAGTTACCAGTAATAGTGGTAGAAACAGAAGTAGTTGTAGGTAGTGGGTAGTGGGTAGTGAGTAGTAGGTAGTAGGTGAAGAGTAAAAAACAATGAAAAAGGTTGAGAGGCATGAGAAGAAATAAAAAACAACTCTAGTAACAAAAGAAAGGAATAAAATAGAGGGAAAAGGTTGGAACAAAACAGAAACGTTGATTTTAAAAGTTGGAATCATGCCAGAGTTATGTATAAAAGCTAGCTGTTGGATCTTGAGGTGAACCGGCAACGAGTTGAAGAGGGAGAAAAACAAAGCCAAAGATTAAGAAAAAGGAGAAGACAAAGGAAAAGATGAAGATGAAGATGAAGATGAAGAAGGAGGATCCAGGCGGAACGGAGGAGTTAAAGGAGAGAGAATTTTCCAAGAAGTGATATTTCGTTTTTCATTGTTTTGTAAGTTTGAATCCGATGGGCATATATACTAAAGAGTGTGGAGTGTGGAGTGTGGAACCAGTAGAGCAAGTGAGTGGGCTGTACAACAACAGAGCTGCTGGAGAAAATGACTTCCAGAAAATAAGTAGTTGGTTGTGAAGAACGGGGTTGTTAAAGAGAACTTTGAAAATGGTATTTTTTTTTCTTTTTATTTTTTGGCAGGGGTTGAGAGGTTATAGACGTGGGGCTGATGTGATGAGGAGGGGGAGGGGGAGAGAGGAAGAGATAAATCGATAGCTGTGTAAGGGAATCTTGAGAAATGTCGTCGAGTTCCAGTGGGATCTTGTGCTTTCTCTTCTTATACTTTAACTGGTAGTTCTTTTGGTTGGCGGTGGTTCTTCCTTTTTCTTATTCTTATTCTGGTTTTATGTCTATTCTTCTTTTTTCATTCAGTTTGTCCCTTTTCATGCTATCCATTTCGCATCTCAACTTGCTAGTGATCTCTGGCGAAAATAGCGAGAAGGGGTATACTGGATAAAGAGGGTAGAGAGTGACGGAAAGTTTCTGATGGAGGGTAAAGAACCCCTGTGCTCATGAAACTTGAAACCGACCCAATTCGTATCCGTCCGAGGATTTCTGGTGATCGACCTTATACGAAAAGAGGAAGGAGGAAGGAGAAGGGGAAAACGATATTCTTCACGAGTCATTGGGATTTCCGCGTGATTGCTGATGCTAGCAAATGTCCAAGTTATTTATTATTTTCTTTTTGCTTCCGTTGTTTAGGATTCATCGGGGGCGCTTGGCTATGACTAATTTTTTTTCGTTGAAATTTGATTGTTCAATTCAGATAAAGATAAAATTGACGCGTTATAAATTATCGTTTTGATTGTCAATAGAAATATAATAACAATTTAATAGATTATTTAATAATAATACAAAAATATAAATAAACAAGTAGAGTGAATAAATGTAGACAGACATGCCCGACTAAACTTTAGATTTTTCACTGGCGTCTGACGTCACGTTTATCACATTCCCTTTGTCTTTGACACGAAAGAGAAAAAGCAATACAGGGTGACCTTATTTGATCCTCAGCCTCGCTTTTCATTTTATCCCGTCTTTTTTATTTATTTATTTTTTTTTTTTCCATTCGCTCTTATTTCCAATCACTGAATAAATATATGTAGAAAGAAGCTGGACTACACGTAGACTTACCGTCTCCGTCTTCGATGGAGATTGGCTTGATGCTCGTTTCACCTCCTGTGATTGCGTGATTCCCGCGATACCACACAATTGTAGCAGCTGGCTTTGCGTAGCTAACTGTGCACTCCAAACTCGTGGACTCCCCTACTTTTAGCTCGATTTTGTTGTGATTTGGGTAGTTGCTGATTTCAACAGATTGAGGCGGTGCTGAAAAACGCAAATTATTTTTTTTTATTTTCAATAGTTCAGGAAAAGCACTTTTTATGAATATTATTGAGCATCTTTCTTGATATTACTCAAGCATTGATACACGGAGAGAATTTAATAGTAAATACAACTATCCGAGTATTGTAAAAACGGCTTCTTAGTATGACTGATTGGAAGAACTATCCAAATTTTTAACTGAAACATCCAGATAGTTACATTTACCATCTGGATAATAATTATTACCATTTGGCTGGTAACTTGAAGATGGTAAACTTAATCATAATATATGTTAACCACTAAAATCATGTTGATTGTAAATTGTACAATCATGATGGTAATTATTATACCATCGCAGCTAGTAATATGATTAGTCACTATGTGACTACCGTGACTTGTGAATTATAAATAAACAAAAATTTCACTTTATTAAATAATGACTTTTGTTAAATTACACTGTACTTTCTTGAATATTGACGTTTTTGAAAATATAAGCATATATTTGTATATAATATATAAATATATAAAATATATGAAAAATTGATGTGGGTACTCAAATGAAAGGTCTCGATGCGTGTAATGTCGGGGTGAGCTTATATCTTTAAAAATGTCAATAATTAATAAGATAGCAATGTCAGTTCTTAATTATTGATATTTTTTAATATATAAGCTCATCCTGATGTCACATTCATTAAGAGCTTTCATTTGAGTACCCACATGCATTTTTGATGTATACATATATATAAATATATAAAATATATTAAAAATTGATGTGGGTACTCAAATGAAAGGTCTTGATAAGTGTAATGTCGGGGTGAGCTTATATCTTTAAAAATGTCATTAGTTGACAAAATACAATTTAATTTCTTAATTATTGACGTTTTTAAAGATATAAGCTCATCCCGATGCTATACTCATCGAGACCTTTCATTTGAGTACCCACATGCATTTTTCATATATTTTTCACATATATATATGGGTACTCAAATGAAAGGTCTCGATGAGTGTAAGGTAATGACATTAAATTTCACTAAGAGAAACCGATTTTATCATATGACTGTCCTAGAGACAAAATTTTTGTTATTCTCTTAATAATATATAGATATACTTTTTTCAATACTCATTCTTATGTCAAACATTTTTAAGTTTATTTTTTTTAAGATTGCAATCATGATGATTTTAACTGTCTCCGATGATAAAAGTTACCATCTAGATGATAAATCGTATCATCATAATTGTGGGAATTAATTTATACTGATTGTACTAATTACAATCGCCGGATAGTTGCATTTATCATCTTAACTTTGTAAAAGTTAATAACCATCCTGGATAGTAGAAGCTACAAAATAGGGATGGTTACCGTTAATATAAAATTCTCTCCGTGTATAATCTATTTACATTTTTTATCGATTAACAGCGTGAAATTTTACTGAAGATATTTACTCTGGAAAAAATAATATTGGAAAATTTTTTTTAGTCATTTTATACTTTGACCTATACATTCAAGTTATTCGTATGTACATGTTTTCTTATATATCGTAACGATTGCAAAATGCAACCGCTATGTAAATATTTTTATAAGATATTAACAATAATAATAAAAGTCATAGAGTAGTTATTTATTTAGATATTTTTTACATTCATTAATTTTTATTTTCATAGGCTGTTATAAGATAAAAATGATGAATGTACACTAATACACATTAAGTTAATTCATAAGAAAAAATCTTTCACAAAGAAAATTATATTGAAGAAAATAATCATCGTGATAAGTAGAAAAATTTTTTTTAGTTTAAATAAATTTTAGTTGATTCAAAAACTTTTAGTCTTAAATAAAATTATTTTTTTATTTTAAGTGTATAGTAGTAATTCATTACAAAATAATTATTTCGTAATGATACTATAAAAATTTGATAAGATAATTAAGGTTATTAAAATTCACCTTGAAACTTTTTAATTTCATCATTTATCGTTGTATAAAGTCGTAAAAATTTATCAACCGATTTTCAAAATTAATTTTATTATCATTTTCATAATTTTTTTATATAAAATTAAAATTCGATATTTTATAAATATTCAAAATTTTATTTTCTCAATTTATTTTAATTAATGTTAATCATTCAAACAAATTTTAATCACTTTAACTAACGAACATTAATTTGTTACTGTAATAAATCATTTGCATATTTTTGTCTTTTTTTATGAAGAATTATTATTTTTATTATGTATTATATTAATAGAACTAATTAAGTAGAAATGATGAAAAATTTTAATAAAAACTTTCTTAATATAAAAGAATTTTCGACTTTATTTTTTTATTGCAATTCATTCACCGATGACAGGATGAAAATATAAGAAATATGCTTGCATGAAAAATAGAGTATCCACTGGGAGTACGTGAGAAAGTTTTTCTGATTTTTTATATTTTTTCTTCACTGAGATTTGGAGGGTCGGATAATCCGGTACGATAATTCATTGAGCTTTTGATGTGACAATTCGTCATAGTCTTTATACTCCTCTGTGACGAATAGTTGGATATGATTTGCATTTTCCCGTGAGGGTTCCGAGAACTTGGTTAGATGAGATAAAAAAAATAGAGGAAAATAAAAGAGTAAGATAGAATATATAGAAGTGATTACCGTAAAATCTAGATTTGATAAAAAAATCTATATAAGTGTCTATAAAGAAAGAGAGTAGAACGAAATAAGAGATAAAAATAAAAGAGAGAATGAGAGAAAATGATCGTTAATTTTTATTATGGTACGCCAAGGCATCTCCGCCTCTTTTACGCTTAGCCCGCGTTCTCTGTATAAATCAAACTCGTGAGATTTTACTGACGACTTAAAGCTGCAAGTTGGAAATGATTCGAGGATCGTTGTAATAAATTTAGATTTCAAGAAGCTCTACTGTTCTCTGTACTTGATAAAATACCACGTCATTTACTCTATTACCACTTCATTTTACCTTGCTATTAATTATCCTTAACTTAATCATTAATAACAGCTCCTTTAAATATTATTTTAAGTTATTAATAATTCTTATGTAGGCATAATAATAAATCAATATAAATTTGAAAAATTTATAATGATATTTTTTCTTTTTTTTTTTTTTTCATCGACATGATGTCATAATTTTTTATCAATATTCAATTTATATATTATTATTATTACACGGAGAAAATTTTATAGTAGAGTTTATTATCTAGTTATGTTAAAATCTATTAACTGAATTCAATAGTAGTAAATATGATTTAAATAATTAAGTAAACCATCTGAATTGTAGTATTTACCATCCTGATGGTAACTACTACTATTATGATGGTAATCAGTAATAATAATAACTACTATCTAAGCTAGTAAAAAATATTAAAAAAATTAAGAATCTGCGTTACTGTGGATGCATTTTTGAATAAACTAAAAGCAGCTGTAGTGCAGCTGTAGTGCACAAAAATTCGGGATTAAATTCGGATAGAATTTATATTTAAAATTTTATTTGTCTAAAACCAGTTTCAACGGCAAATTTTTCGAAAAAATATTTGAAATTTCCAAAAAAATCAAAATTTTAAATAAAATTTACATTAACAAAAAAAAATTTTTATTTAAAAAAAAAATCAAATTTTCAAAAAAAAATTTTGAAGGGAATTTAAAATATTTTAATATTTCAAAGAAAAAAATGTACATTAGCTAAAATATGAATGTAAATAAAGGATTTAATTAAGTAAACTTATATTATTTTTTCTTTCAGAATTTTTACGATCTGAGATGATTACAGTTACCATCTTCGATTGTAACAGTTATAATTTATAATAATTACAATTATTATTTTTGATAGTAATCGTTATCATTATTAATAGTAACTATTACAATTGTCAATGATATCACCTATTATTTTGTTACTAATTAATTTTATTACCATTTTAGATAGTAGGAGTTAATATTTTTTTATAGTAGGTACTATAATTAATTTTTCTCCGTGTATTATTATTATGTTTCATAATTTACTTATTATAATTAAATATTCATAATAAATAAAATAATTTATTTAAAAGAGGTGGATTCATTCATTGACATGGCAACTAATAGATAAAGTATATTGAGATTAAGATATAATTATAATACCTATTACTCAATAAACCGACGTAAATACACTTATACTTGAATCAAGCATGGATTATTTATTTAAAGGGTGGGAATTCATTTTTGTTGTTTTGCATTATCTAATGTTTGCTAAATTGATTGATTAATAAAGTTGATACAAAAATTTTGAATTAGAAAAAAAATCAATTACAAATAAAGTAAAATTTAACTTTAGAAGACAAATAAAAGTGTAATAATGTGATTGTGTAAATATATAAATCTCAGAAAAGATAAAGTTTACCAGAATTTCATCACTTTCTTCTGTAAACGAGTCTAAAGATGTTAAAGCGAGACTGACAGACACTACACAGAATTTAATTAAATAAAATTGCAGTCGCCAAGTTTTACCCGCCGCTTAGAAAATTAGAGTGATAAAGGAGAGAATAAAGAAATAAAGAATAAAAAATAAAAAGATCATGATGATAATGGTGATGATGAACACGAAGTAAAAAAATAAAAACAAAATTCACTCTTTGCAAAAAAAGTCAAAGGGGTCGTATGAATTAAGAAAAAATGAGTAAGAGTGAAAAATTAGTCTTAATGATCCTCGCCGCCTTAGTCGTCACACTTGCGACGCCTACTATTAAAATTAAATTTTATCATACAAAATAAATTATACTTAAAATAAAGCTATTTTATATTTTTTCATGAATTATGAAATATTATACTTGATTTTTAATTATGAAAAATAACTTTCTGAAGTTAAGTTGAAAATTTAATTAAAATAAAAAATCGAAATAAAATGAAAACGGATAAAATTTATGTACTCAAAGGTGAGAAGGTGAGTACGAACTAAAAAAAACTAAAATAAAGATCGTGGGTCACAAAAGTTTGGAATCGTTAGCACAGGCAAGTGGAAAATTTACAG